ATCTCAAACCCCGTTGCACACCGTTTCCAGGAAACATGTCGTTCAAACCGGAAACCGTAGCAAAACGGTGCACACCGGTTTGAGCTTGAACATGCCCCTGTTTCGAGTCTTTGGGTTTTTCGAGTCATTCGTTCATCACATGACAGCCCCATAAGCTTAACCTATGCAGTCTGAGCCGGAAAGAGACTTAATAATAATAACCAACTCTTTTTTATCTTTGTTTATGGAAAAGAACCATGACAGATATTCACACATTTATAAACTGTAAGAAGTAAAAAGCTACAATTTGAGACCAAATTAATCTTTTCTGTTTCTTACAGCAGTTTTGTATTGTTTGTTGCGTGATCAATGTTTGCTTAAGTAGTAGACGTGTTAGGGAAATAACACGTAACATTTTAATTATATTTTGCTAAAATAAACGAAATGACTCGAAAAAAGATTCGTTCATTTTGCTGAACGAGACTCAAAGGTCCGAGTCGGTAAAATGATCCGAACTTCCCATCACTAAATAATTATTGTTATGTGGCTATTTGATGTGTCGTTCAAGCGGCACTTTTCGGCGTTATGATTGGTCAGATCGCCTGTCAATCAAGCTCCTGGTGAAGGGTCAATTTTGTATGCAAAAAGGTCAATTATCTATTGTGAAATAGCATAAAGATGTATGAAGCACTGTTCATACAGAAGTCAGTTTCAAACCAAGCACATTTCTGTTGGTCAGCACAGCAATTTGCTTGACCAACTTGAACATGAGCGAAATCTGCATGATGAACCCTTTCACCCTCTTGTGAAACTCCAGATCACGCAGATTCCTATTGAAATGACTGAATTTTGTTCGCAAAATTTCGTGAGAATGTCATGTAGAGAAACAGATATTACGTAAATGATTTATCACCGTAAAAGTTCACGTTAGCCGATTTCTCTGATATTATTGCTTATAGCAAATCTCCCCATCATGTGTTGTGCATCTAACATTCCAACTGGTCATGGGAGAGGAGTTACAAAAAGGACCAACACAGCACATTATTCTCAATCAGCAATGTGTCTGCTATATGGCTGGTGATCTTGTCCTCTCACATCACACTTCTTCTCATGGGGATTGTCCCATTGGTAAGCAACAGCCATCTATTTCCCATCACTCACCGTTAAATAACACATTCAATTAATGCTCATATCTCTTTCTTCTCCATCTGCTTGGCAACATGAAGACTATATGTGCCAAAATTGCTGTCAACCTCATATAGAATACAGCTGCTAACTTAGCTGAAATAACAAAGTCTCCCTAATCAATACAGTACAGTGGTAGAGTGTCAAAAATACTACTTTCATACCTCTCTGCTTTTATTTTGTAGACAACCCCAGAGCATATATGCTTGTATACAAAGATATGCTTGTGAACAAATTCCTATTTAGGCTTATATATCTTGTTTGTGTTATTATCTTTTTTGTCTTTCTAAATACATTTTGTAAGATCACTGTTATTGCTGCTGCAAACGTGTGGATGAAATTATCCATGACAAAAAATGGTGGGGACACATCCTTGCCGTTCCCAATGTAAATGACGCCAGTGATGCTGCCAGTATTGTTTTAGTTATGTTCAAATTGTAAGTAGGCTTCATGAATTCCAATCAGGGTTAATATAGCTTTCATAGTGCTTTAGGTTTAGTATTTAGGATTGGTGGTTTGTGTTTAGGATAATTTATGAATCTGTCATTGATGTGCACCCCTCTAAGATGGTCCTTCAATATCTGTTTATCTCAGTTACAACCCTGGTACTTAAGGCCTGAGGTGGTCAAATGTATTTCTTTAATTCAGTAGCCTTTTCAGTTGAAATTATAAATGATCCTAAAATCCTTCGCCATAAAGTGCACCATTTCCATGGTCCTTCTGTAACGCTCCTTTTATTTTTGTCTATTTCGAAATGATTAACAGACAGCAACAGGCAGACAGACTGTGTGAGTTTTAAAAAAGGAGTGGAAGACAGGTGCCAAGAAACGGAGGATCAAAAGCACAAGTGATCAGTAGCTCAAGCCAAGAAAGAGAGAGAGTGAGTCCTTGATAGAGCAGACATCTGAGAACCAGACATTCACATCTACACAGAAAACCTCGACTGATGACAGATGGAGTGCTAGTGCACTGGTACAGAATCCGTATCTGGACAGGACTGGGCAATATTCAGAATTAAGAATTGGCTCCATTTCAATTAATGAGTTGGAATTTTAATTGAATTGCACATACCACAGGATGATAAAGAGGAATTAGCAGTTTATGGAAATTCAACATAGTCACATAGTCTATTTGGAACAAAACATAAATAATTACTAAATTAATTTAGATCCTAAATATAGTATATTTAGTATAATATTTATTAGTAGTAGTAGAATTTATTTACTAATTTAGCTTACATCAAAGAATGATGAGAAAAATGTATCATGGCTTTCACAAAAATGTTAGATAACTGTTTTCAACATTGATTATAATAATAAATATTTATTATTGAGCAGAGTATTATAATGATTTCTGATCATGTGACACTGAAGACTGATAAGTAATGGCTGCTTAAAATTCTGCAGTTGCAGGAATAAGTACAATTTTAAAATAGAAAACAGTTATTTTAAATGTAAATAATATTTTACAATATTACTGTTTTTACGTATTTTTGATCAAATAAATGCAGCTTTGTCAAGCACAAGAGACTTCTTTCAAACAAAACAAAATATCTGTATATAGATAGATAGATAGATAGATAGATAGACAGATAGAGATTTTTCAAATTTATGTGGGTCAAAGACGAAAAAGGGTTTAAGCATAAACACAAGAAGTGTAATACTGCTTTAAATTGTTGTTGTTTTTCCCCAAAAAATAAAAAAGTTTTCTGTTTAATTGAATTGCAATTTTGTTTTAGTTTTTCTGAGCAAAAAATAAATATCATACATTTTTCCCTTATTTACAGAAGAGACCCACTAGAATGTCATTCAGTGTAACATTCTTGTCAGGCATATTTACAACAAAAATCAATTTATGACATATTAAAAGACTAATTACTTTCACCCCAAATACTAATTAGTTGTAATTTTACATTTTTCATTTGTCAGTAAGATTTATTTTACTAATTTAAAACACAATCAAATTTTATATGCTCCCTTATTCTTTTATATATTTTAATATGTACACGTCAGAATAAGCATGTTGTTCGAATTTTTACATAAATATTGTGTTACATTGAATGACAACGTAACATTATTTCAACCAAATTTTGACATTTTATCCTTCAAAAACTTATTTGAAACCTTAAAAGTAGACACTTTACTTACATTTAATGTGCTTTCTATGGACATAAAATCACTTTTGTAAATTTCTTTTGATGCGGACATCTTAACGTCTTTGACCCATGTATGTATGTACAGTGTGACATGAGTTCATATTTGGTTGTGACATTACGCTTTACTATTGCCACTGATTCATCATCTCCTTTTTATTTTTTTTTGAAAAAATTATATAAAATCCACATATATAGTTGAGTAAATGCATTTCAAACTTTCATTATTTGCATCATCTAATCTAATCTTGTGTTTGGTAAAATACCCCATATTGTGTATATAATAACATTTTTGTTTATTCAAACTGAAGGATCTGAGGATCCGCAATATTAAACTGCACAGCTATATGACATTTATCAGATGTGTATTGGTACAGCTATACATTCACTGCCTCATTTATATTCAGTTTGATTGAACTGGAATTGAGGAAACATTCCCAGCTCTTCCTCTTTTTCTCACGCTCTTTCTTTCTCTCAGTTGTGCAGTAATCCTGTAGAGGGCCCCCTCTCATTCTCCTTTCTCTGCCTCGCTCCTACTCCACAGCGCTCTGTCCTGTAAGGGAGGGCAGAGAGAGAGACCAAGCGAGTGAGAGTGAGAGAGAGCACAGACTCCATGTGTGGAATTCTTTGGCAGACATTGCAACCATTACACCTCTTCCTACTGTTCTGCCTCAGTCACTGTCTGTGGAAAAGGGCTATTACTTACTGCAAACGGAGGACTCCTTCTACAGAAGCCAAGAGAAAGAAAGAGAGGAAAAAAGAGTGAGAGAAAAAGAACTTAATGCAACAACTGGACAGCAGGAACAAAGTGACTGCCTTCCCTGTTTAAAAGCAAAGAAGAAAAACGGAAGGCACTGGACTATTTGTTTTTTTCTTTCGTTTTGTTTTCTTCTTCTTTCTCATCGTGGTGCTTGGAGGCACATCATCTTTTCATTTATTCGCTCTCTCCATCATTTGCCTCCTGATCTATTTCTCCATCTATATGGTGTATAATTTTGTCTATTTATGACGAGACAGGAGAGAAGAGAAAGAAGGGGCAAGTTTTTTTTTACTCTTTCACTCATTTTTAACTATTTATGACCCCCTTCATTCGTTCACCTGTCCCTCCTTCCCATCTCTCTCCTCTGATCATCCCCTCTTTCTTCCATCCCTCCCTTCATCCCAAAAGTGTGATGCTCCCTGAATGAAAGTTGGTTAGAATTGTGAAAGAGACTCAAAACCATCTCAGTTTTGTAATTATTTTTCTTTCTCTCCTTTTTTTTTTTTTAAACAGTTGTTTTAGTCCTCCACCATCTACCCTCACGTATCACTCCTTTTTTCCCTGGATGCTTTAATATTCTTCTAGGTAGGTTTAACGGCTCGTTTTGTGTCTGTCTGCTCTGTTTGTCTGTGTGTGTGTACTTGTGTGTTCCTTTTTTACATGTACATAGACACACACACACACACACACATACACTTACACACACACACACACACACACACACACTCACCCACACGCTCACT